TAAACATTTAGAAATTGAACGTAAAGAGTAATTTATTGATATCTGACATTTTGTTCTGGTCTGTAGTGTTTTTTAGGTTAAGATAGAGTGCCCATTACGTTCACTTATGTCAATAAAGTGCTCGGAAGTCAATATATCTATCTGGAACCAGAGGAACTTAAGTCTTCTGTCACCGTAGAAAACTGTACTGCAGCCGGAAGTATTTTAGTACAGTTTCTGTCCTCTTGGAAGAAAATATTTGTTGTTAATATAGAAATGGTCCATTTAGGAATTCCTCATTGTCCCTTCAGTAGTGAGGAACCGGGATGAAACTGAATAAGCTGTGTTGTACTCAAAGTGAGGTACAGAAATGAACAAGTATGTGCAAAGTTCTAGGAGAAGTGGTGTCAGACAGAATTGGTGTATTTGATTGTTAAGGAGCAATTAAAAACAGTACTCATGAATATACATCCGTCCCGTTTATTAATTATTAGAAATATACACCTGGTGAAGGAATACGGTGAAACGAATAAGTAAAATCTAATTTGCCAATCTAAAATCAGTGACCCTTGTCATTTCTCTCCTGTTTTCTCTGTTTTCCCTTTTCTTGTTCTCTTTGACCCTTTCTCTCTCTCACCTTTTGTTCTTCTTCCTTTCTTGTCTGTTTCTTATTAAAAGGGATATTCCTCTCTATGTTCTGTCTCCCTTTCATCCCCTTCCCTGTCTGTTCCTTTCCCTCTTTTCCCAGCTTGTACCCCTCAACTTTGGCTCTGTGTGAACCTTGCAGGCTGTCAAGTGAATCTTGTGCATTAGTCGTTCCTCCTGGCAGGCCACTCACAAACCTCCATACAGAGTAGACCACTGGTAAGCTCAGACAGGTTATGGGCTGATGTAGGCAAGGTGCAATCTCCATCCAATTCTGCAGTGCTAGCCAATGGAGAAGAAATCTGTGGTTACACAACAGGCAACGAGGATTCTCTTCTCCCACCCAGACACCCCAAAGAAAAAACGCTGCATCCAGACATCTCCGTGGGTTTAAAAATAGTAACTGCCCATTTCAATTCCTGCAGAGGGCCCAGTCTGACCCTCTGAAATGAACCTGGAATATAAATCTCCCAGTAAGCAAATTTGTAGAGAATCGTTCTTAGACTGAGTGTGATGATCCCATCCCTCTTGGAATAGAAAGATTCGCATTTTATCACTAGATGTGGTCTCAGCTTGTTTCTGAACCCAGGGGTAAATACTTCAGGGCCAGCACTTGCGCATAGACCGCTCCTTTTGTGTCGCAATCCTTCGTCTCATCTACCTGAGCTGTTTTAAATATGAATATTCTGTACTGCTCCTGCACAGTTAATACTTTTCGTGACTAGCAATGACAGCATATTACTGTCTCATCTGATACCAATGAGACCTTGACATGCCATCATCCAAGAACCTTAAAATAAGAGTGTCTAGCGTATTCGTACTGAGTTTGGCCTCGTTGGGAGCTTTATGGAAGTTCCATGATTATGTTCTTAGAAGCCTATTCTCCTCCCCATGGTATCAGAGAGGATTTCTGCAGTAACTCCTAGGAGTGCTAATGGAAAAGAGCAAACCAACTCTACATCTACACACAGGAGTCGCACTGGTTTAACTAAGGTTGGCTACTGCACTAATTGAGCTTAAACGTCTTTGACTTTGAGTGTAGACAATCTTGTGCTGGTTTGAACATGGCTTATAGCTGTGTAGCTTATATCTGTTAAATAATACAATGGGGCAAGCTACACCAATATAAGCTCAGTTTAAACCCATGGAAGAGTGTCTACACAGAAAGCTGAAGTGGTTTAAGCTTACTTGGTACAGCATCACACCTTTAGCTAAACCTGCGTAACTTTCTGTGTGGAGCAGACCTTGGTGAGATTTCATGAAAATGCATTTACTTGCAATACTGTAAAACTTTATTACACAGTTCCACATTAGGCTGTCCTCTGAACTCTCTACTTCTGAATATTGTCTTGCCTTTAAAAGCGCTTTATAGTTCCGGTGCTACTTACAAGTATGTCTGCACTGCAGTTGGAGAGGGGATTGCATGTAGACATGTGCCCAAGCTAGCTTTAATCTAGTCAGTGCAGTACCAATTGCAATGAAAGCACAGCGTCATGGGCTTGAGCGCAGGCTGCACAAGCCCATCCAAGATCCTGGGGACTTGGGCAGCTAACCTGTGCTGAAGTCCACCACGCTTCACTGCTATTGGTGCTCCCTCTAGCTAGACTAAAGCTAGCTCGGGTGTGTCTGTACGTGCTGCAATCACACCTCCAACTGCCGTGTAGACAAACTTTAGGTCTCTGACCTCATCTCTTTCTATGGTATCATCCCTCTTGTTCCCCGTATTCTCTTTCAACCCTTTTACTTGGACACCAATTACTGCACACCAGGAAACATCCATCAGCTCCCTCAAAGCGACTTTTAAAAACTACTTATTCCATGAAGCTTTCCAATCATTCTGTTTGTTTTTACTTTGCATTGTACTTACTCGTGCCTTTAGACAGTAAACTTTTCAAGGGAGGGACTTATTTCTTGGCACCCTTCGTCTATTGCATAGCCCTTTGCTCACTTACAGTGCTATATAAATCATATTTTAAACTTGTCCAGAGGACAGTGGCTTTTGGACACTTCTGTTTTCATTTGACTCATCTTACTTTTCCTGTCATATGACATGTAACCTCTCTCTCTGATGTAAATTAACCCTATGGTAAGTGCTCAAAATCCTGTTATACCACCAATATAAATCATTAGCTACATTAAAGATCAAAAAAACTAATAGGAGATGAATGAAAACCTGTAGACTAAGATTTGGGCTTGAATTTTTAAAAAATCTATCTCAATTACAGTACCATAACATGGGGAAATATTTTTTTGGTTATGTCAGACTGAGAAAAGGAAAGTTATTGGAGTTCAAAGGTAATAAAAAAAAACCTTAGTCTTACCAAAATAATATATGTAACAACAGTGCAATTACATGTTTTAATACTTCATGAACTCTATTCTTGATAAGTAGAATGTTCCAAGCCACAGATGGAGCTCTAACAAGAAAGTTTCCTTGGATCAGTAGAATGAGAGTAGTGGTATTATTTGTATAATACTGTAAAATTAGAAATACTGACTAAAGTGTGAATATATGTGTGTAAAATATGTGTGTGTACATAGTTGATTTGGCTGGTTTCTTATTGGGAATGAAGAATTTTTTCTGTGTCCAAGAACTCTGAGATGCAATATATGCATAGTAAAGAGAGTCTGAAAATCAGCACCCACTTTCTGGGTTAGAGAAGTTATTCTGTACTAGAGAAGAGTTGTTGTATGTTGCTATAACTGTTGCAGGAAATAAACACAAGTTGTATCACTAGAGGTTGATGTTAGATTAAAATTGAATCACTCCAAAGTTAATTTTTTCTTGACATCCCTAATTTCAGAAGGTAACTACTTGTAGAGTGATACAATTCTCATTATTTTCATGAAGTAATTGAGAGCTGCAATAGTAAATAATCAGTAATAAATTCAGCCGTTTGTCCAGCAGGTGGCAGCAACATACTACATGTAAAGTACAACGGATTGAAAAATAAATGCAAGAGTGCTCTAAATTCTGTGTTTGTAGGCACTAAGCTTAATTTTAAATGTATTATTGTTTTTACAGTCTTTTTAATTATTGAATAGCTAGGAAGGTTGAGTACATAATTTCAATCAAAGTTCATGCCAAATGCTTATGTCTAGTATGCATCTGAAAACAATATCTGTTGGTTGTTGCTCAGTATTCTTACTGGTGGTAGTAAGCAATGAATTTAACAGGTCACTAGTATCTGTTTTTTAATCTTATTCCCACAAATGTGCGGGCTGTAGATTTTTAAGAGCCCGTTCCTGAGAATAAGTTGCCATAATGAAATAATTCTTATGAGTGCATGACAGTATTTAACACAAACCAGTAGAGGGCAGCAGTGTATCGAGCAGTGATGTAATCTGCTTGCAAGTAGTTTCATGTCTACAGCTTTAAATAAATAGCATTTTATGAGCAATAGATGCCACAAAAATATATGCTGCATGTATATTTATACTAGAGCAATGTCTCTGTAGTTTGGAGGCAAATCTCTTAGCTGCTTGGCTGCCGTGGAGAGCGAACACTTGCACACAGACTGTCTTTCAAGATGTTTCCGCACTTCCAAAAAATGACGAACACGATCCATTAAGATAAGAATTTTAAGGAACCACATGAAGTCAAAGTTTCATCCAGAGGTCAACAAAATGTCTAAACTCATAAAATTATGTAAGGAATCCAGGCTCTGACACAACCTTAACAAAGTCATTTGAAATCATTTGACAGTAAATTTCCCTGTAAGTTCCTAGCCTAAAGCACAGAGAATCCTTTGCTTTCTAACAGTCTTCTTTCAGACATTCCAGATTTTAAAATGCTAAGTACAAGTTGGGTCTTGATGCAGCCTGATGGCCTCCTCAAGGCAATTTGAGAGCTGACGGAGATCCCGGAAGCTGAAAAGGCTTCCATCAAGAACTTGACATTGAATGTATCATGTCATACAGATGGTAACTCAGAGGAGTGAGAGCTGCCATTTACAGCACTGATGACAACAACTGCAGAGATCAGTGGGATTTTAAGATTGCTTTAATATGACTGGCACCTAGCAATTTAGCTCACATTGTTTGTGACAGGGTGTCACTCTGGCACTTGTCTGAGATGAATGATAGAGTTTTTAAAGCATGTAGCTTCCTCTTTTAGGGAAATAAAAAAACATATGTATCAATGCAGAGAATTAGGAATCAGCTGTAAAAGAATGTGTAAGAAAATGTTTTGCTAAGCATATTAAAGTCATAGTCTGGCAACGATCAATAAGAAAATAAAATCTCCTTCTCGATCAGTAAATGAGGACATGCCCTGTGCAAAACTCCAGTTATGGAACATCATTTGTAAGCATTTACACTTTGAATCTCCCTGTTGTGGTAGCGTGGTGCCATCTTAGCTTTGTGGTTTTCTTCAGGTTAGTCAATATACGTTTGCTATGTGCAGTTACCGGGAGAAAAAGGCTGAGCCCCAAGAACTACTGCAACTTGACGGATACACAGTGGACTACACTGACCCACAGCCAGGTACGAGGAACGGTGACAGGGTTTTTGCGAAGCGATAAAGCTTGTCACATTTATGAAACTGCAAAATATAGCTGCAAAATCAGATCCTTTTTTTTTCTGTCTTTGTCGCTAAACCGTGAGTGGTTGTCTTATACATATGTTTGTGTTTATACTGATCGTTATCTGTTCAAAACTTGAAAACCACACAGCCTCTAAGTTGATGTGGGGAAACTAGCTGAAGATGAAATATTATCAAAGGTCTTTCTTAATGGCACAGAGGCTGGCATTTTCACAGGAAGCTAAGGGGGTTAGGCACTCCCAGTAAAACCAGTAGGAACTGAGTTTCTAACTGAGCTAGTCACCTTTGAAAATCCCGGCCTAAGCCTTCAAGTTATTCTCCACTGACACACACGCCCACCCCTCCTATGCCAACCAATGTACCTGTTTTCATCATAAAAAAAAATACTTACAAGACCAGAGTGTCATTTTCACTGATCTGGCTTTTCCATGGCCTTTCCTGTACCTGTTTATATACACAATAGTCCACTTCCTGATCCCATTTCTCACGCTGAGTAGCACCACACCTTACTGATTTCAATAGGACCACTTGGCAAGGACAGTGCTACTCATCATCGAGCTCTGGTTCTCTGTGCTGAGTTGTGACACTGCATTCCAATCTGAGCAGATGGGATATGCTACTTTGGGCTGTTGGGAGCTCAGCTGTTCTTCAAAGATGACCAGCTCAGCTTTGTGAAGAACTAGGAAGGACCGCACCACTCCACTCTGAAATCATGGCCACAGAGGTGTCAGTGGTAAAACTCCCATTGGCTTCAGTGGGTCTGGGATTGTACAGATTGAGGTTACTGTAGACAGAGGAATGCATGTATTCGTCCCTCTTAAATGGACTTCAGCAAGTAGCCAGAAAACAGCTGCTAAGGATCTGATTCTCTTACTCCAGGTTTACACTGTTGTAACTGAGGTCAGAATCTGGCCCCAAATCAGGGAGCGAGAAAGAAACAAACATGCACCCTCTGGAAAAGAGAAATGCATGAAGCCCTGGGTCCACCCTGAGTCTCGTTTCAAAGATGAGAATTGGTCGGGGGTTGTACTAAGGGCACGGCAGATAGCGGGAGTTTTGCTTGAAACTACAGTGCCAGGCCCAAACACCTGATGTCAAGAGAAGGGCTGATAAATGTTACATATAACTGACATCTAGCTTCTGTAAAAACAATCTAATGCTCCATTAGACTGTTAAGATCAAACAGTTTGAAAAGTTTCTTAAACCCTTTGACACACATTGTGCTCCAGCAACACCAACGCAACTTGTAGACTCTAAAGTCAATCGAGTTATTTTGGAGTAACTGAGAGCAGCTGATACACACACATTGCTATAGCTATCCAATGTGTCACCTAGGGAGGTGGTGGATTCTCCATCCCTGGCGGTCTTTACATCAAGGTTGGATGTTACTTTTTAAAAGGAATGTTTTGGCTCAATGGGCTGAAAGCAAGAATCACTGGGTGAAATTCTACACCCTGTGTTGTGCAGGATGATCAGTTCTGCTGTTAAGCTCTGCGAATCTCTGTTACCACGTTAAAATGTTTTGTTTTTTTCTCCTGCCAGGTTTGGAGGGTGGCAGAACATTTTTCAATGCAGTGAAAGAAGGAGACACAGTGATTTTCGCAAGTGATGATGAACAGGACCGTATCCTGTGGGTTCAAGCCATGTACCGAGCCACCGGCCAGTCCCACAAACCTGTGCCACCGACCCAAGTTCAAAAGCTTAATGCTAAGGGAGGAAATGTTCCCCAGCTAGATGCCCCAATCTCTCAATTTTGTAAGTAAATAAAGTTCTCCTAGACAGCAGAAGTCTCTGATGGAAAGAGTTTCTGCACTGATGTGAATAAATAGTCAGACACAAAATTCCAACTTTTTGAAATATTTTTTTGTGATTTCTAAGCTGTTCTTACATCAGTGAATTCATAACCAGTTAACCTTGTGTTTTACCCACAATCAAACTCAAGAAACAAGTTATGAGGGGAGATTGTAAAATGAGTATCTTAAAGTGCAATACTTGATAGAAGAGAGATTCTGGGAGAAACATTTTCAATAGGGCTAAAGCCCAACCTTCTCTTTTACGGGAATGCTTTTCCCATCCACAAGAAGAAAGTCACAGGTCCAGATCAGCGAATTTGATTTGCACCAGAGATCAGGTACCTAGAGGTGCAAGTGCCCAGATTTACACCCACACTTCAATTGCACATTCAAAAACATAGGTACAATTGTGAAGGTGCAAAACTCACCCACAAAAGGAGGCTCCCTGTTGAAAACTTAAACTATGGGAAAGCGTGTGGTATTTTTATTAGGTTGCTTTTACAGATCAGGTAGATGTGAATTTTCATCTTATAACTCTTGATTATCTGCACATGCTGTGTGTTTGTTCATAGTTTGCTGAATTTTATATTTAGCATGATTCTTTTTGCCTTGTCAATATGATCTGATTTTAAACTAAACAAAAATCCATTATTTAAACAATCATAAGAAGCCAACACAAGTAAAAAAAGGATGAATGAGGTGCACATTTTTTCTTGAACATATCTTAGTACCACCTTTCATAGCTCTTAATTGTGGACGTGTATCTCCCTTTAACTTCAACAAGAATTATGCATGTGCATCAAGAAGAGACTGAAACCATTAGGTAAAATAAGGAAAAGACCATAAATTCCTTAAGAAATTCTTCTAATTAAATCAACTTTACATTTAAAATTGAAGAGCAATTAAAATAGGATCTATAGAACTGTAATTGTTTTGAATATTTTGACATGATCAAGGAATTTAGAACTATATTGTCCATATAAGGTGAAATCTACTTAGGGTTAACATCATTTGGGCTTTTTTTAAAAAATCAGGATTTATAAGAACTATATTTCCAGTCCCCATAGAATACAATTGTGGGACATGTAGAACATGTGGACTATTGGACCTTTTTTTACTGTGCTTCATGTACTTGCATAGTTTGGACTCTATTCTGCACTGCATATCTTGTGTCCCCTTATAACATCAATGAGAACATAGCATGATACAGCTTGGTCAATGCATATTACGTGTTTTCCCTTCTGTGGTCCTGCTTCTGACCTTACAGAATCAAAATTCCCATTGACCTACGGGGTCATTGACTTAACTAAGGACTGAAGGATTGGACCCTAGAATGGCATGGGGCCATGAAAGAGAGTGTAGATAACTGGCTAACAGGAGCATCTTACATGTTGGGAGATTTAACCCATATGTCTTGTGCTTATTCAATAGACCTGTCTGGGGCATGGTGATCTTGGTGCAATCACAAGGATCATATTTTCACCCACCCAAATTCTTTGTCAAAAGGGTCTTCAAAATCCTGTCCTCCTTGCATCTGTTTGTGGGGCAAAACTTTTTTGGTCAGTAGCCATTTTCGTAAGTATCGTAAGCAAGCAGCAAGGAAGAGGGGTGGAGCAAGGAGCAGAGTGTGGCTGGTTCAGTGCCAGCTACGGCATATTTTAGGGCAGTCTCAGAGCTACTGCAAAGTATATTAGCGGGTAGCATCCTGTAAGGGGCTGCCTGTCGGCATGGTTGCTATAGACCGGCAGCCTTGGGCACAGCCCTTCTCTTCCCAACATAACCCTATACCAGACCTGGCATAAGAGCTGACAATGCCAACCGAGGAGTCTTTTTGCTCTGCAAGAGCAGCACAAAGGGGCCATACTTGGGGAGGGAGTCTGGTCCATGTGTTTGCAGGTCCCCATTCTCAGACACCTTTATCCTTAACAAATATACACTAATCAAACGCATTTGCAGTAGGCCTTTCCCACCACCTTACAGGAACTGAAGACAACGAGTACCAAGGGGTGTAACTCAGCGCCACACTCTGCCCATGGTCGGGGCCCGCATCCTGTCCTCTGGGGCTGGAGTAAGCAGGATTGTACCCATTGTACTGATAGGTAAACTGAGATGGAGAGGTTCAGCGATTTGCCTGGAGTGAGTGGCAGAGTCAGGAACAGAACACAGGAGTTCTAGCTTCTTCTAACTATTATGCAACCTCCATCAAAGACTTGGGGCATGCCCCTTCATTCTCCCATGCTCCGTATATTCCCGTACACTATCCATACATACAGGTGTAGAAACTCCACAAGTTCGAACTTGCACTTTCCTTCTCATTCTTCCACCGAGGCTGGGTTCTCACCTCCCTCCTTCCAACTAAAGAAGCCAGGATCTTAGACCCCTAAACTCATCCTCTGTGATCAATTAGAGTAAAAAGCCATCCCTGCAGAGCCCTCTGTTCTTCTCAGGGCCTTGTACCATCCACACCAGCCTAAGATCTGAAGCCTTTGGCCTCTATGCTGCCACCAAGACTCGTTGGCAGAATGGTTTCCACACCACTTTTGCTGTTGTTGGAGCCCCTTACTGCTAAAGTTGCTAAAAAAAACCTTTTCAAGAGGGTAATTCCAAAGTGCAGAGTTGGGAACCCAGACAAACGCCTGCATATTTCTTCCACAGTATCTAGATGAACGGATCCTCCTACACAAGCGACTAGGGGAAAGAGGAAAACATGCCAGAGCCCAGATTCATCCACGCATTTCAGCTGCTCTCTGCCGATGGCAGCAGTAAGGAGCTAGGCCCAATAGCTTATTTTTTTATGCCTGTATATTAGTGTATGTTCTGTGGACAGAATATTGCGCTCATTTAAAAGATCATTGGGTAGTAAAATACATGCAGCTTAAGTCATAAAAAGCAGACGCGAGTCCTTCATGCACACATGATGTTTACAGTCAAGTGTTTTGATTATAGATAGAGATCTGGATTAAATCTTTTAACTTCTAACAAATCAAGTATTGCATTTTAAAAGGGGGGTTGGTTTGCTGGGGGTGGGTTGTTTTATTTGTTGTGTTGCCTGCAGAAAGGTAAGGACTACTGTTAAGCACTTTATTCTTGTGCATTTAACTATATACCTTGCAGATCTTATTTTTTCTTGCTTATTATAGGGTAAAGTTCTTGGCAAACGAAGCACTTGCAAGAAAGTAAATGTTAAAGCAGTGTATAAGTTGTTTTGTTATTGCTTTCCTGGGCAGAGTAAGCAGCTTAAAGATGGTAGAACTGTTTTCTGTTATACACACACGCACACACACAAATCCAACACCCCAGTCTTGTTATGTAGCTGTCTGTTAAACAGAAACTTGAGAACAACACATTTTGCAGTGGGGAAACTTGGGAGTAATGCTGAATTCATTTGGTTCCCACATAATTTGACTTAGCAAATATAAACTTTATGCATTACTCAACTTGTCTTCTAACTGGCTAGCAACACTTGACTTTGAAATAAACAAACAGCTCTAAGCAAGGGTGGAGTGTATTTTTTGTGCGATTTAAATACTGGAAAAAATAGATCCTGCTATTCATTAATTTTTATATGACTCTACAATCCCTTTTACGTGGGTGAAACAGCACCTGTTAGACTGAGAATTTCTGCCTTTTTATTGTTGTTTTGCTACAATTTAAAAGAAAAAATACACTAACACAAAGCTATACTTTTTCTCAAATATTTGCATTTATAAGAGAAAAATCCCAAAGCCATGCTTGTTTACTGTTGAAATGATGTACAGTACTGTAGTTAATAATGCTGCCAAGATATATTATACCCTTTGGCAATATATTAAGCTTCATAAAAGTGGTCACTTGTATGGGAGCACCAATCTTTGTCCATTCTATGTCAGTAGTACATTAAACCAAAAAAAATCATACTCAGCTTTCATTTTTTGAAAAAAATTTTCTTTTAAACGTTAAAGATTGGTCAGTAATTGTTTTACATACCACTTGTGATTATACTTCATTTTTAATGTGTGTTTATATTTAATGGCTGTTAACCACATCATATACCAAGAGTTGGCTGTTTTGAGAATTGTAATTATTTGTTCCACCATAATAAATGGCTAGGTTTATTGAGCTTCATAAGAAATTTTCAGCTGTAAGTGTCGTTGTTGTTTTGGGGGATTTTTTTTAAGTTTTCTTTTTCATTCTTTGCTTGAACCCAAGTACTTTAGCGCTAGGTTAGGGTTCCTGTCTGCTTTCCTGAGCCTTGTTGCTAGTCTTTATGTTATTCTGGTTTGTTCCTTCTTACCCTGCTAACTTCTAGCTGGACTCAAGGGTAAGTGCTTCCCTGTAGCTAGCACAGCTCAGATAATCAGACTAGATTATCTGACATATGCAATGTGCTTATTTTTCACTTAAATCTTTCTCATGTTTAGATTTTGTAGTAAAACTTTCCATGTTATTTTCCTGAATTTAGGTTTGAAATGTAACTTTCCATACTGAAATTAGGATGCATGTGATGTTTGCATAATTGCCTTCTCTCCCTGGCTTTCACATTGGCATCAATTGATCCTCTTAGTAAAGCCAATCATTAACATTTCCTATTTTTCATTCCAAGATGTAAATATTAATTAACATCACAATAAATCTGTAAATAATACCTTTTTTTGTTTCATGGAATTTACATCTAGTTGACTGCTTAATGCCTGAAAACAGATCATTTTGCACTCTATCATTCTTTTCCGTTCCAATTATTAGCATGGTGTAGTGCACCAGCAGTGTGGGGGTAACCATGGACACCTCAAAGAATAGAAAGGTAGGGTAGTAGACCTGAAGAGGCCTAACTGAGCAAGACAAGGTGTACTTCAAAGAAACAAAACCCAAAACAGAAAGACATTCCTTGCACATCCAAGCATGAGTCTTCATGGTTTGACAGTTTCTGATCATGTAAAATCAATAGTGGGTTATTCTGAAAACAAACTGTAGCTCTTTGTTTACTATATATATTTCCAGACAGGAAAGACAATCCACTATGCGTTAAAATAGTTTAGTCACAATAGGGACTGTTCCTATTCCCAAAAACAAATATACTTGAATGTTTAACATGTGGTCTCAAATGTCATTTTTATATCAAAGAAATGCTTTTTTAAGTATAATAAATTAAGAAAATTGCTAGAAGAGCTTTTTATCCTCTTTTTGTTATTTTCCTATAAAGATACCTATTTAAACAGAAAGATAATAGTTTAAACTTGTGGAATAAAATTTTTTTCCTCAGTTATTTGTTCAGTCTTAAATAAAATATACACTGTACTAATTCTTTATTCATGTTTAAAACGCTGTTCCTCAAACACATGGTGAGTGCATACTTTACTTAAGAGGGAGTAGAAGCTGTTGGTCATGAGAGCTGGCAAATATGTATTTGGAGTATTCTGAATGCAATTATGAGAAGGAGCAGGTGGTATCTACCCTCCTGAGCATTAAACAATACTCCTTTTTTTTCTTGCATAAATGTACCCCCAGGTTGCAGGCAGAATTTCTTTACCCCTTCTTAGCAGATACTACTTTTTCTTTTCTTTTATCTTTTAAATTTTTTGGATGTCTGATGAGGATTCTGATCCAACTTTGCCACACAACATTGACTTGGTAAAAATTAAGGATTTCAACACTTTTTAAAGAAAGAAAGAATGAATGAATTTGCGTTTGATGTGCTTTAATTGCTTTATTTTATATATATATATATATAAATCTCATGAGAACATTATGTCTTCTTGTATTGTCAACTTGCAGATGCTACATATCAGGAATGCAGTATTAAAATATTAATTCACTTCTCACATAACTTGCATGAATTTAAAATAAACTATATATCGCTTTTTTGTGTTTTAAAAAGCATGAATGACTTATTAAAGCAGTTGTATATTTCCCCATCATTAAATTCAAAATATTTAAAAAAACAGTTAAAAAAATATTTTATCCTAGAAGTAGCTTTTCTCTAAGATCTAATTTTTACTTATTCTGTGAACCACTTGGTTTTATCACATATTATAAACTGTAATTCACTTAACTACTGAACCTTGAATAACTTAGATTTCATTTAAAAATATAGTATAATTAATAATTTACAGCAAAATGATTTACTCACTATTAAATCTTTAAAATGAAGTTGTAAAATATGTTTTCATATCCAGTAGAGGGAAAAGTAAAAACCAAGTAAGAAAAAGTGTGACAGACTAGTCTCATTATTTAAAACAGCAGTAACAATACTAAAAATGAGCTCTTGTAACTTTGGGCATGTAGGTAACTTCATTCACCTGAGTAGTCCCGTTGCTCTCAATGGGTTAGGTGAGTAAAGCTACATGCATAAGTGTTTGCAGAGAGGGACATAATCATGGTAAAATATGAAATATTAATTGGATTGACTTTTGATCAGTGGCAACATTATATCGTACATAAAGAGGAAGGGACACAAATATCATTGCCAGCAATTCAGTAAGAAACAACAATATGGTGCTTTAAGTCCTATTTAATTAATTTATTTATTTGACTAGAACACTAGCCGCGTGAGCTAGTGTTTTCAGTTCTACAGATTCAAGCAAACCTCAGTTCCTGGGCACTTTCTTTTGGTGTTTTGTTAACAAGTAGTCATTCTGAGAGTCTCTGTAAGTTCTGCTTAATCTATGAGACCATGAAGAAATTTAGCTGTTCCTCAAAGCATGCAGTCAACTGTGTGGCACAACACAATGAGCAGGGAGTTCGCCTGCAGTTCTGCTTGCCCTCTCTCCCACTGTTGTGCATAGCTGAAGAAGAGTTAAGTTACTGAAAAACTTAGCGTTGTAGTCTGACCATGCCAATAAAGACTCTTCTAGAAATATCTGTAAATGAATAGCTGCCATCAATCATTGTCATTCCTTTATTTCATGTCTCCTGATGAGGTTGACTAGTGTCATTGTTTGTTACCGTCCAAACCACATCTTCATTCTTGTAATGTCAAGCAGATATGACAAGTACACATTTTCCAGATGAGTAGGATACAAAGTCACCTTTTAATTTACAGTTTTATAAACAAATGTGTTGTAAAATTTACTGGATGTTCAGTTGCCCTTGGTACTCAAACAAAGTCACTCATTACTGAAAATAAATAATTTGGAGTCGGAAATTCTTACAATAAAATGGCTACCCATAGCCTTTTATAACAAGAATTCTTTTATGGAGCTTGTCCCCAGTTGTGAACTGCAGCAGTCTTAACAAAATCTGCCTAAATTCTTACTGTAGCAAAAGACACCAGGGGGAAAAAAACAAAACAAAAACACAAATAGCAAGAAAGGGATGTTTGACCTTTTTGTCTGTTGCTTTTAATTGACTGTCGTAAATAACAGAAGGACTGCCCTAATAGAACAGAGTGGTGGGGCATTTTTTTCTTGCTTTTTTTCATATCTATGTCTTACTGACATTGACAGATTTTTAAGACTGTGACTTCAAACATATATACAAAATATGTGTTTGACAGAGAACCACAGTAAGGATAGCTAAGGCAGACAAGATAGACATGCCAGTTTTTGGTAATGCTACAAGTAGAATAAAATAAAATTGCAATAAGAGAAATGGATTAAGAAGGGCAATAATGTAAATTTCAAAGTTTAGCATAAAAGGCTGCAGCATAGTTTTCAAGAAGGAAGGTTAATAGAGTTTGTGATGCCAGAATAACTTTACTCACAGTCTAAGATGTAAAACAACTTTTTTTTGGCCAGTAGCATAATGTTGTCTTGAGGCCTTGAATAAAGAAGTGCCAACTAACTTGGCAAAGCACCTTGGAAAGGGATTGTAAATTACAGAAACAGCACATAACACTCCCTTTTTCTTTGTATTTAATTATCATTGTTATAAGAACAGATCAGAGTCATAAGGCCAAACTACTGATTTATTAAAAGTGTCTACAAATTATATGTACAATTTGGGTCTGAGTTTGAGCCATCTACCTTTATTTTGTAATTTGCTTAAAGGCGCGTTCAAGCAGTACAAATTGTTTATTTTGAAAGATGACTGTTTTATATAAAAATCATTATTTTACATGCAGATATAGTTGTTACTTTAAAATCTTGAGTGCCTGTCTGAGGCGGTTGGGGCAAGGTATTTATGCTTTGCTTTTTCCTAGGTAGGTAAATGTTTTTAGCATAATTGGCTTCTAAAATTCAGTTTTAGGAATAATTTTTAAAAAATCAAGATACGAAAACAAATTGCAGATTGAGTGGTGCATTTATTTTGTAATGTAAAATAATTCAGTGAGCGAAAGCAAACTTAGTGTAGGGTTGTAATTATTTTATCTACTGAGACATATCCTAAATGGTCCAGAGAATTTTGAGCAGCTAGACCGGTGCAATATTTTTATTTAAGTTAAATATGTGTGTGCGTAACATGCAATAGAATCATTTTCCAAAGACATCTCCAATTCAAATCCCATTTGATTTTCATGAAAGACCTCCTCTTGAAAGCATAATTTCCTCAATTCAATCCAAGATGGTGGTTTGTGCGCACCTAATCCTGCAGTCTGCCTACGTAAAACAACTACTGGACATGATGAGTGGTTTTGTGTAGATGAGAGCTGCAGCATTGAACCATGATGAGGACTGCTGTCGTGAAGCTTACTTTCTGTGCCAGAAATGGTCACATTTTCAATAATTTTAATGAGCAGAACTCATGCAAATTGCCCTTCTTTGGAATACATCTTGGTCAGTCAATTTCATAAAATACCATCTACGGTAACTGTCTCTTCATGAGGTCATTTTGAGCCCGTCAGATCTTTGGGGGGATAGAGAGGATTTCAAGTGGGTACATACTTGGGAGCTGGGTGAGGCATTGCTTTGCAAAGACTAATGAAAGTATAATTATCTTTGGGGTCAATTTACCACAGTGCAGTGGAATTTGGCAAGAGCCTACTGACCACTTAACTTTGTGGGCTGTGCCTAGGGACCTATATAGGTCCTCTGCTCTAGGGTGTAGATTGCTTGTAAACTTATATTTGATCAGAGAGGTCTCAAAAACCATGAGCAGATCCTTAGCTCCATTGAAGTCACTTAAACTATTAGATTAACGCCATCTAAGGATCTGCCCCATGTCCCTCTCGTGAACAGAAATTGAAAGGCATCCCAGGTCAGTGTGAAAGGGAGAAAGTAGCAGTAATTTATAGTTACATATTTTCTAGCAGATCAGTTTAAAGTGGTTCAACAAAAAAAGAGGGAAATGGCCCTTAAAACTTCTAGTTGGGTTACTCAAGGCTAAGAAAGTATCCTCTTTGCTAAACAACAAGATTGACAGGGCACCCTGGCTCATAATTGAAAAGTAATAAAATATCTGAGCAGAACTGGCAAATTAAGGCCTCCAGCCAGTTTGTCAGCTTGCAGTCTACTCGAGGAAATTTGAGAGCAGCAGTTTACTAAAAAAAAGCCTTGATATATCTGTTAAAATTGTAAAGCTATTTTATGGGCACTAGATGTGGAATTGAAAACAGCAGATACAAAACCTTTAGTAGTGTATTCATATTAATCAAATCGATCTTGGCCCAGAGGGGACAAAAAGGATGGGGCATAATCTGTCAAAATAGATAGAAACCAGCCTATTGGTGTGTTGATAGTGCGCTACAATGAGAGACCCAAGGTTGGAGTGCACTTTAGATCCTATGCCGTAGGCTGGTGGAGACTAAATGTGTCATGGAGGTGATGCACTAATTCTCCATGTTGGGGAGGCTGCCCCACACCTCGGAGCCAACACACACACACTAGCTAATCCGTAGGTAGCATCAACTCTAAATGGACCTGCTGTTTCTCTCTTCATGCTGGATGCATGGAGTCACAGGGAGGGAAAAACTAGTTGGGGGTCAGGTAATAGGCAGATAGATGGCAAATGGGAATTTTTATGTTGAACAAAATAGAAAAAGTTAGCCCCAGTACTGTAACATACATTCTAAACCACAGTACCTGTTCAGCAGATTTCTAATCAAAACGATTACAAGCTTCTGCCGAATTAAGTATTGCTTGCAGTTAATTGAAATGTTACGTTTTGAATCTATGTTGTCATTCTGATGGGCAATGCTATCAATATATTTAACTACAGAATATCAAGGAAAAATGTAGACAATGTCTCCTATAATAGATGGAATATCTATGGGTTTAGACATTCCCAAGACATCTTGTAAAATGACATCGTCTTTCATAGGTTAATTTTAAATCTTTAATTAATCTTCTATTTAACATAATTATTTGCTTCCATATAAGTCTTACTTCTATTTTTTTTAAGTTGTATATTTTTGTGTCTTATTGGAAAGGGTTAGTTTGGTTTAGAAACAAATATAAATACCAAATTAGTAGCAAGAAACACTAAATTTTAATTTACTGTGGTTTTGTGCTCTTTCAGCCTCTGTAATTGTTTCAAGACCACACAGTTCCCCTAGGAGTTGTAAACAGAGTGAGATTTAAACCCTGCTCTATTTGTGAGGGATTTGGCAAGAACCCATGTAGCAGGAAACTTGAGTAAATGCAAAAAGAGAGTGAAAAGTGTCTTTTAATTTAGTCATTTTCCATAGAACAAAGCTACTGCCTAGGGATCTCTCCTTGGCCACACCTACACTGAATATTTTGTTTTGGTTCCACTGTTGAATTTAGTATAATTTTAGTTATATATGTTGAGATTAATTAGTTAGCCCCTAGGAGTTTGTGCCGATAGACGTCACCCACATCAGAGAAGTGTGAAGACGTTGAGGCTATTAATTCACAAAAGATGGCAGCTCATAATCCTAGCAGAGTAAATTCTGTCTGTCTGTTGAAATGGCTAACTCAATCTGCACACGATCAGGCTACTTCTTTCGTGACAACAAACTACATCTCAATTTAACTTATCAGCAATGCTTAAATGAGCATCTTTTTTATTTCATTGAGATAGCATTTAAAAGCTGTTGTAACAAAATCTGAGATTGGGGGAGAGAAATATTGGCATTTTGATGCAAAAAATTAAATCTATATATTTTTATATCTAGAAAACCTAGTAAATTTAGAGAAATTGCTACAGACATAACTTTACTAGAATGGCAGAATCTATTATATAATTAATCTCAAATAACTAAATAGGAGTTAATTTACTTTTGCAAGCCAAAAATCTGTTAGCTTATTGTGTTTTGTAAGATACAGAATAAGTTATTGGGTTTGTGTTCTGTTTTTAAATACAGAATAAATGCACTATAAAGAGCAGTTGACAAGATGTTAATTCTAAAAGCTTTGGCCTGAATGCAATAAGATAGTCAAAACGTGATGCAAGTTGACAATGGGAGGTGAAGAATATATTTTGGGAAAATAAAAGTTAATGGCAATATAGGGGAAGAGAATTATTTAGCTTTCATGCTTCATGGTGTATATTTTTCTCTCTCGTGTATATGTCAAATAGAATGTGCTGTATTTCTCTAAATTGTGTCTTTCTCTATATGTATAAATGAACAGATGCAGATAGAGCTCAAAAGCATGGCATGGATGAATTTATCTCTTCCAACCCCTGTAACTTTGACCACGCTTCACTCTTTGAGATGGTTCAGCGCCTCACTTTGGACCACAGACTTAATGATTCGTATTCTTGTCTGGCAAGTATATTCTTTGGTCTATAGTGATATAAACACCAGGAAAGAAAGTCAGAGCTAGTGCAAGTGGGGGCTGCGCCCATGTTGCCTGAGGAGTGGTCCCTGCTTTTGCCAGCTCTGAATTTGGTCCCCCACGGTATTTATTTTTAAGAGGCAATATACCCTGAACTTACTGTTGTTCGACTGCAGTAGCGATTCTGTGTTATCATTGATATTTGCACTTTTGATAATGTTACCTCCTGCAAAGACAAACTCACAGCTGGGGAAATATTATAGACAGCAGCAATGATGTTTTGCAGTTTGCACCATTGCCTTACAGATGATGGTACAGGAGAAAAAGGAATCTGTACGATCCCATCCCCCTTGTCAGTAGAGTTACACCAGAATACATGTGCCCCAGTATTTGTATGTACTGATGAATAGGGTTCCGAGCAGCTAACAATTTGCTCTGTCTGAGAAGTTACCAGATGTTGGGCATGATCCTGTAATCTATATTCATTCAGGAGTCCTGTTGTCGGGATCACTCACATGAGAAAGGATTGCAGGATCTGGTCCAGTGTGTTATAACACCGATTAAACAGAAAAAAAAAATTAAGATTGTCCAAATATGACTTGTCATCTTTGTTATTTGGCTGTTCAGCACTCAACCCAATGGGCCCCTGATCTTTGATTGCAGGTCCGTGGTTCTACAATAATACAAATAAATACTAATGTACAGGACTTGTACAGCGGATTTCTAGAATGAACAGTAACTTACAGTGTTGGAAATGCTATAAGAGCCAGAGCCCTTAGAAGTCAGTGGGAGCCTTTCCATAGACCTGAGTGGTTTTTGGATCAGGCCCGATATGCAGATGGCATTCTAGAGGGGTTAGGTCCTGATCCCACCTGAGTGCACCCTGGGTCTGTTCCTATGCCAAGCAGCAGTACAACTTGGGTCTCCCTTTCCAAATAATGCACGGAAATCTCAGCAGAAGAGTTAACTCTTTATGTACATGGAATGTTTGGTGTGCCAAAAATCTTCACCTTCTACCAATGGCATAAGCTCGGAAATTGAAGCTTTCTTGTATTGGAAGCAAGTGATACTCCTATAAACCACCCAGAGGTTGTCATTGGGATTAAACATTTTTTTCACCTAGCCAGTCCCTCTACACCCCAGGGCTCTCTTGTATTTTGTCAGTGACCTATACCCATCTTACCGCACCCAGGAACTCATCTTCTCCAATGGACTAAGGGGATGGTGATGGTGAGATGAAGGAAAGTTGATTCTAAGTGGTAGTTCTCATCCTGTTCTCCCAAGCAGTGTAGGACAACCATGTAGGACAGGAGTCCTCTGCCTCCTTTAGTAGAATTATTGTCATCGCTCGGAGCAGCAGGAAGAGGTTCCCTTGAAACAGTAACAGCTCCTGCTAACGCCAAGACTTTGTTCTGATGCTAGCTGTTCATTAGGGGGTTTGCTTATGCGTTTTCAGTTGTGCTGCATGTGCCGGGGAATAGATGGGAAGGTCTGGGGTCCTCTTTGTTGTCCTCAGTTGCTGCATGTTTGCTCGGTCCTGGTGGTGGGAGCCCAGGAAGGGACCAGGCTGAGCAAGTTTTCAGGTGAGCTTCCATGTTCACCTTGGAGAAGCATTGGGAGTGCTCAGAAGGAATAATTGGGAGGTTGGGTTTATGGGTCTGAGGCGCTCTGCGTTCTGCTCTGCAGCCCCTCACTTCTTGTGCAGCTGATCTCTGGGGGTCCTTGCAGGATGCCCAGGAGGTCTGCTCAAGGGGCAGGGAGGGGCTGGTGGAAATCCCCCTGTTGGGAGGTTATTGATAGAGCAGGTGGGGAAAGAACATTTGTCAGGCACAGAGCATGGATCCCACTAGCTCACAAGCAGCAACCCTGGCATGCAGCGTCTGCTTACTCAGGCATGGCTGGTTGCGAATAAGACCAACCCCGTCCCAGTAGGTCTTACTGGCTGGCTTGTGACTAGTTTGACTTAATTAGATTTTGGGAACATTAGGAGAGTTTCGACCAGTCGCTTGTGAAACAGACTCACAGCTGGGGGAGAAGCATCGAAGCCATTATTGACAAGATTGTTAATGTGTCTCTTCAAGAGGAAAGCTGCCAGCCACACTTTTTATTATTAAAGAGGTGTTTGGGCCCTTGCTTAAGAAGCCACTAGAGCGATGGGGCTCATATAAGCCCCAAGGCACATGGATCTTTGCAGCTTAGTCTCACCATTTACCATCCTGTCTCAAACCTCCCCATTTTAAGGAATGTGGTGATGGACCCTTTCTGGCCACACTTGGATTCCACAGGTTTCTTTCCTTCCTTTCAGTGTGGCTTCACACCTGGCTGTGGAACTGAGACTGTGTTTACCTCAAAGATTGACTTACCTCGCAAAAAGGGTCTGTGTTGACCTTCAGCAGCTTTTGATGCCATTGGCCATAAAGTTTTGTTGACTTGTCCGGGCAATGTTGTAAGAATGGCTCTTCGGTAGCTTCCCCCTTTCCTTTCCAAATGGTTCCAGAAGGGTGATGGGCAGTGGCTCTTCCTCCCATAGGACTTCAGTGTGCAGGGTCCCACAGAATTCTTCGCTTGTCACATCTGTTATTCAGTGTGTGCGAATGTTGACTGGCACTACTGGAGGAGGTGGTGAGAAAGATAGAGAACAATACTCATTTCTGTCCCCTTTCCACTGAACCCAGATTGCACAGTCTCCTGGCACAGGTATCTGTATGAAAACAACCTGGCTATGACCCATCTCCGATAAGACAGAAATGATGCTTGTTGGCAGAGAGAAGCATTTAAGGAAAAGGAGCAGGAGTCTTGCCCGTGCCATTTATTGAGTGCATCTACCCACCGTTCACCAGAGTATACACGGTTATGGCCATGGGGTCCTCTTGCTACTGGATTTTCAATTAGGACAGCTGCCTTTCATCTTCTGGCCAGGAGACTGCAGCTATTCCTCTCTAATGTTGAGCTCACAGAAGTACCCATGCCTTTGGTACCTTCAGCTTGGACACTGGCCTTCTACTTAGGGGTACCCTTGAAATTTACACAAAAGCCAGATGCCTCCATTCTCCCCCCTATGGAACATGCTCCCTCCGTGGTCCACTTCTCCCAGGATGCCCCTGCAACCATGAAATCCCCACAAAGCACCACACTACTCAGTCAAAATGGAGACTGTGTTACATCATGGGAGAGGCAGTCTACCAGGAATCCCAGCCCATTGGAGACAGTGGGGCTCTGAACTTCAACTCCCACGAGGCAGTTCACCACAATAGGGTTTAAAGTGAAACCTATTTGAAACTAAATATATTTTTTTTGTTTTCTCAATGGAAAAATAGAAAAATTTCAGCAGAATCTAAGTCCCACAGAGAGTTTCAATTTTGCAGAAACTCCATTGTACATTAAAAAAAAACCAAGTTAACTGTTCATATGGAAAATTCCTGAGCACCGTCTCTATAACTGATACCAAGTGTTCTCTTTCCATTTCCTGAGTGGTGCCTGCTACCCTTAGCATTTCTGTCCAGGCTTCTCATTAGCTTCTGGGTGCAATTCGAGTTGTTGATGAGTATCATTAGAACGCTCAGTGGTCTAGAGTGCGGATACATTCAGTCACGTTATACCCCATCACAGCAGCGAAGAACAGTTCGGAGACCTTCTGACAGTTTGAACACTGCATGGCTGGCCTGAGGTGTGAGGCCCAGACATGTACACTCTGGTGCACAAGGCAAAAACCCAGTAGGGGGCCAAGAGCTGCCTGAGGGTGTGGGGGAATGCGTGTAAAAAAGCTACCACCCTTTCAGTAATGTTTCCTACCAATCCTGGATCCTGCGCTGGGCTGGACAGAGAGCCGCATATACTACCACTTTGCAGTCTCTGCTTTGTAGCTATACCACAAGAGGAACAAAGGAGAAAGCTGCCACCACCACATGCCTCTGTACCCCGGACCCTACTGTTTTTAAAGAAATGTAGCTTTGCTTGGGAGTAAGTGCTTTTCCTCTCCCAGTTCTGCAAGGGTTCTTCCCCCCTGTTGCCAGATTGGAGGAGTCTGCTCCCTAACCTACGGCTGTGATGGAAGGACAGCCCATTTGTCCTCCTCCTGACTGCCACACATCCACTTGGATTTGGGGAAGAAGACATTTTCGGACAAGTGGGCCCCCTTCAGCTCCCCGTGTGAGCTCTGGTTTTGGAGTCCTCAGCTAGGGGACCGTGCACTGAGTGCCTGTAAGGCTCTTTCTGGGGTTTCTGTCATTCTGCCGTGGAAGAGGCTGCCCCCAGCTACAATGCTCAGCGTCTTTCCTTCTGTCACGCCCAGGAGTCTGGGTCTCTGCTCTGCAAGAGGGAGCAAAGCTGCAGCGGTTATGGAATAAAGAGCAGCCTCCGTAGCTGCAGGCCCTGAAAGGTTCACGACGCTTCCACAGGCTCCAAGCCAGGGAAGCAAGTCTAGATAACTCCCTGGGCCCGATCCTGTCATCTTTTTCCCGCCATACCTCCTGGGTGAAATCCTGGCCCCATTGAACTCAATTGGAGTCTCCTCTCTGATTTCAGCGGGGCCTGGATCTCACCCCCCCCCCCCGAAGGATCGGATCCATTGTAGGATATTCGTTGCATCGCTACAACGTGAATCATAGGTCATTTAAACTGTTGTAGCAGCGTCACCTGCTGAGCCTGGCCACTGCCTCAGGATCCCCTCAGGATCTCCCAACCTTCCAGCCCGGTTCGCTTGCGGTTGTGCCATGGCCATCTGGCTAGGCCAGTATCGAAAAAGTCCACTCCTGCCAGGGTAGCCACGCCCAAACCAAAACATCTTCAGCCCAGTCTCGAGCTGTCTCTCCTTCCTGAGGGTCTGTCTTCTCTCTTCAGCCCTTCCTGGGCTCATTTGAGACCTTCCCTGCTCTCTCTTGAGCAGTGACTCTCAGCACTTCCTACCTGGAGTCTCCCTCCTCTCTCTGGCACTCCTGCGGGATTCTGTCTAATCTTCACCTGATTTACCTCCTGACCTGCCTGTCATGTGTCTTTGCTCATTTTCTCTACCTGGGGAGGTGAGCTAAGTGTGCCACAGGTGGGGCTGACCCCAGTCATCCTGTGACAATGCCTCAGAAGCCACAGATCTATCTTTCAAGTTAATTCTTACACTCTCTTCTGGTTCCCTCTTCTACAAAGTCCTCAGTTTTGCGGGGGGAGGGGGGAAGGAGAGGAGGAGGATAAAAGATCAACGCATGTAACAAAGGGAAACAGAGAAAGACAAGGAAATTGACTTTCACCCTGGGCGCAAGGACCAGTAAAGACCAATTGAAACAATGGACTTCTACAGGCATTCTCTTCTGCATTATTCTGTAGCTTAATTTTCTGGTGATCCCAGTAATAAAATGAACTGTATCTATTTCCTATATCCATGATTTCCCCCCTCATTATTTCAGTGCTTTTTTCAATCTGTTTTGGAGTTGGCCCAACAAGGATGAGCAAATCCCTTTCTATGTCTTTTGACTGAGCTCTTAATTGATATTTCTTTCAACTCTTTTCCAAGCAGCTATTTTGGCATCTAGAAAAGATTTGGTGTCATCTGAGTGGTAGAAAATATATTTTAATCTTTCACAGCAGCGTTGTTTCTAAGATGTAGCATTTGGGGTAGCAGATGGGGTGGCAAAGAAGTTGCCTATAGGGGCAGTGCACTGCCTCAACCACTCTCCCGCCCGCTGCAGGAACTTTTCAATTAAAAGAGGAAAGATTTTGCAGTCTGATGCATTCCAGAGCTGCATCTTACCGATTGTTTAGCACCCACATTTCCATGTAAATATTGATGGGTTTGCAGCATTTTAAAAGGGTTCTATGAGAAAATTCTTATTCTAGCTAATGGCTTCACAGACTGGTGCTGCATGTTCTACTTTAGCTGTCCCCAAAGAGTCTAATCCGAGTGGCTCCTCACAGAAATGAGGGAAATGTGAATCCTCCAGTTCTGATACCGTAGAACCTTGTTTGTGTGTCTTTGGTTCATTCCTATACTTGCCAGATACAGAGATAAAAGTCATTACTGAATAATTATCTGCTCTTACCAGGGGAAGAGCATAATACAACATCTCCCCCACGACAGTGTTGTTAATATTTTGTACTGTTTCGATATACAAGTCTTTGGCTGCCCTTAAAGATAAAAGAATCTTCGAACGATAAATACCGAGTACTGGCATTAACTAGAATAGTTGAAACATTTTTCAGCATTTTGAATTACATTTATCTTAAATGTTACTCTAATGCTTTTTCATTGCAATTATCCTGTGTATTATTTGAGTTAGGAATGATAGAGCCCACTTCCTTGTCTTTTGCCAACCATTAGGTTTGCATGGTCTATAAGAAGAGTAGAGCATTACATCTCCAAATCAAATAACTCTTGTGTTTAACATCTGCTGTTTAAAATCAAGTCTCTTTATTTCTAAACAGGGCTGGTTCAGTCCTGGCCAGGTATTTGTGCTAGATGAGTATTGTGCACGTAATGGAGTCAGAGGCTGTCACAGACATCTCTGCTACCTCAAAGATTTACTAGAACGAGCAGAAAACGGAGCTATGATTGACCCCACCTTGCTTCACTACAGCTTTGCCTTTTGTGCATCGCATGTTCATGGCAACAGGTAAGGAATAATTTCTATCTAGCGACTAAGTGCCAGCAAGGGATGACTTTGTAGGTTTCCTTGGATTATGCACAACAATCCCCAACTTGTTTTCATATTGGATGTTTGGCAGCAGCTCTTCCGATGGCATAATTGGTTTGTTTGTTTGTTTCTTTGCTTGTTGAAATGAAAGCAATAAAAATGTGCAGACAGAATCCAAAATGATCATTTTTAACTTTTTTACTCAGAAAACTCCAAGAGACACTTCTCGTTAATGTATATTTGGGTGCATAACTGAAATCTGTATCATTGTCATACATGCATAAATGGATTTAAAGAATGTATTACATTGACTTTAATTAATGTATTAGAACGTCCAACAAGTTACCACAGGTAGCATTTTCGCCAGCACCTGAGTTCCATTTTCAAACATGATTTAGGCACATAGGAGCCCACGTCCAATTGAAAGTTGGCTCCTAACTTGCTGAAGCATTGTTGAAAATTTCCCCCCACATCTTATTGTTGTTGTAGAGCAATTTCAAGTTCGTAGTTTGCTTGTTTTCTTCTCTCAAATGTACTGTGGCAAAAAGTGTAGCAGTGCTAAGTTTCCTTTTCTATGTTGTTTTATTTACAGCTAGAGTAGCTGTTGCAGCTTCTTGCATTGAGGTTTTTTTCCAAGTTGCATTATATACTCTGAGATGTCGCACTCTATTCTGCATATGCTACTGAATAACAGAGTGTTACAAAATAATTATGTGTTTTTGTAAACTCTCCGTTAAACATCATCCAGAATTATGATACACATTGTCTGGATTTCATATTGTGAGACTGCCATGCGATACACTGTTAATTTTATACATCTTGTCATGGAAACAGAGTTTTTAGTTTCTTGTTTTCTTTTTAGTTCTGACTTTCTTTTGTAAGTTTGTATCTTTAGCTGTTTATTATTTGGTTTGGTTTGTTTTCTTTCATTTATTTTTTCATGCTTTCTTCTGCTTCTTTCACTTTTGTTGCTGGCTTTACCCTGTGCATTTAAACTCATCCCAACCATTCCCCAAAGTCAACAAATGACAGAGTTACTTGGTGGGTCACAAGCAAATGCAGACTGCGAGGGGGGCAAAATGTTTAATCCCTCTGCCACTGAAGTGGAGACAAAAAAGGATTCCAAAAAGGAGTCCAAAAAAAGGAAAGATTCCAAATCGCAGCCGAATCCAGAGCCAAAAAGGTAAGAGAGAGAGACCAATGCACAGAATTGTACTCTGTAATATATAAGAACTTTTCAATCACTGAGCACACTGGGCACTTTGCATTTCCAATATTTACCTGGTTCCGAAGCTTTGAAAAGGCAGATTTAACAATATGATAGTAAAAGAACATCCAGCAATTGGGGGAACCAGTGAGTTTGTGATTTTTCAAATGTGTATTAGAAATAGAGTCTTCAAAAATGACCTAAACAGAAACGAAACAGAGAGGCTACCAGTGAAAAAAAGAGTGCCTGTCACTACCAGGTTATTAATGGCAGTTCTCTGCGCCTTAATACTAATTCCACTATCCACAGGACGCATTACTGCAGAGACCTAAATCTGTTTTGAGGATATATAGGACCTGATCGAAAATGCATTGAAGTAAATCAGAGCTTTGCATTTTACTTCCATGGACTTCAGATCATACTTTACAGCAGCCAAGGGTTCATATGTCTGACTTAGAAACCAAAGACTGCGTGTCTTACCTAGGGACATGTTACATTCTCCAGGATGTCTTTCTGAACCCTGTGCTCTAGTTCAAATGGAAGTTATGGGCTTGATGCAGAAATTAGTGGAATTATTGGGTGAGGTTCTCTGGCCTGCGTTATGCAGAAAGTCAGGCTGGATTGTCACAGTGGTCCCTCCTGGTCCTAAAAAATCTGTAAATCTGTACCTTTAATTTATTATTATGGTTCAGACAGAAATCAGAGTATCTAAGTTCCTTAGATTCCTTGTTGTGATTCCTTTTTGAAAGAATATTCAGGCTATGTGCGTGATTTGTTTTAGAGCCAGGCTAGACTGACACACAGCTGGGGAAAACTGATACTTATTTATGTGCTACCTAATCACCAGTTACCAGTGTATTTGGGTGTATAAAGCCCGTCTATCTTTGACAGTCTCCTTTTCCCACCTTTCGTTTGTTGCTTGCTTTCTTAGGTCTTAGGTCTACCTAGACAGACCCTTAGCTTATTGCAGAGTCAAAGCCTTACCTTGTAAGCTCTTTGGGGTAGGCATCATGTCTTGCTCTGTGATTGTACAGCACTTAGAACAACAGGAACCTATCTAGGCTTGGAACCTTTGAGCAATGCTGTAATATAAATACTAAATAATAATAAATAACATCGTTATTTGTGTGCCCAACTCTTTGGGAAAAAGTGTCATTTGAACATACACATTAAAATACATACAGTCAATATCTTTGCTATTTAACAAAAACGTATTACTTTTGTCATAAACATGGATATGTTAAATGAACTTTCTTTAGAAACTGAATGTTATTCACTTTTAGAGGGCAAAAAAACAACTGGTGGTTTAGCTTTCTCGGGAATGAGGTTGGCTGTCAGTCAGACTATGCCACTCCAGCAATGAAGGTCGAATAGAGAGAGAATTCTATGTGGCTATCAATCTCCTATATTAGCAATAGACAGTGATGGAGCTGAGGTGGGTTGTCTGTTTGTATTGTGTTTGTGTAAGGTCAGACAGTGAGACAACAGTAGCTTGCAGTCAGTGAGAAAGTGCAGAGAGAATGTGATTCAGATGTTCAGGACAGCCTGAAGGTCAGGACTGACAGAATGACAGGCCATCATAGAGAAGAAACTAACTAGTTGCTGTCCAGGGTCCTGCTTCATGAATACCGCCTTGTTATCTGATCAGTGTCAGTGCAGGACAGGAACAAAACGGCTGCTGTTAAAAATACACCTCTAGCTTTGCTGTGACCCTATTGCCATATCATGTGAAATGGTCAAAAACCAATATGGGTGATATTTCAAAACACTACTGCAGTCCGTTTTTCCTTTACCTCGACTTTTTTTAAGCTGATGAGTTGTTAGACCTTTGAAAGCTCGAAATACCTACTCCAAAGGGACACTATAAATTATTGCCATCTGCATAGTTGAATCCATGAACTTTTCTGTTAATTTTACCCATACTTTAAAAATAAAAATAAAAAAGTGAGTTAATTGTAATTTTTTATCCCAAGTTTTGCCTTCTGCAAACATCTGTATACATGATATATGGGAGTGTCATAGATATAGATACCAATCATGACTGTGCAAAACCTACTAACCCTAGTTACCATAACTAATTACAGTTCACTGCAATTAAGGAAATTATTAGTGATACTTCTTCACTATACTTAAGGGCGCAACATCAGTGCGTGCCCTTAAAAAGTTCCACCAAGTTGAAAGATTTTACCAGTTCTAATGGAAATCTGGTAGAAATCATTCAAATTGGTAGAATTTTGTAAAGGCACACCCATTTGGATCTATTTGCTTTAGGTACTTATGTGGGCCCCATTACTGTAATATTGACCATCTCACAGTCCGTTAATGTAATTATCCTCACAACACCCCACGAGACAAGGAAGTGCCATTAACCCTGTTCTGCAGATGGATAAGAAAGGCAGAGAGAGACTTGTGATTTGCACAAAGTTACACAGGAATTGTCTGGTGAATCAGGGACTTGAACCCATATCTCAGGCTAGTGCCTTAACCACTGGATCATTCTACCTCTCCCTTTTTAAGATTTCCCTACTTAGGGTTTTATTCCTTGACTACAAACACAGCTGTTGCCAATTGACCCATGTAAAAACAATTTTAAAAATAAAATTGGTTAGAGTGGGCAAAAAAATTGCTGCTTTTGTGGTTTTATATACCGTATATACTCGATCATAAGCTGGTTCGTTTATAAGCTGACCTGCTTCTCTGGTACTTCCCTTTTTTACTAAAAAAATTCAGCTTATGAACGAGTATATACGGTACTTTTTTTGTCCTTATGTATTGAAAATGTAACTACAGATTTGTATATGTAAAAGTTAAGGACTGGATTAGTGGATGTTGAGCCCATCACTACTTGGACTTCATACTGAATCTGGTCCAAGTTGGTGGTGAGGGAACGTTGTGATTTTCTGACAGCTGGTCAGTGCTCTGTGTGAAATGAGCTGGTGTTTGGCCCAGTTTCTCAGTCCCATCACCAAACATCCACACGATCAATTCTCTCACTATAATTTGCCCCGTTTTTGCACACAGGTGGATTGGTGCACTGCCCTTCCCGCAGTCACTGTGTTTCACAAACATTAAATTCACTTTCAAAATGAAATCAAAATTGGCATCCCCTGCAGCTGTTGCCTTTGCAGATTTTCAACCGTTGTCAGACTCCAGAACTATTACCGTTTTGAAGTCGTTTGTGGAACTTGTGGAATTCAATATCTGCATTACATTTTAGAGCATTCTCAATTATGTCTCCTTAATATTTGGTTTATATCATACAACAAAAATTTCATAGAGCTGGTTGAAAAATGGGAAACAGTTTTTACAAATTTGTCAAGAAAAAACATCATAGAAATTTCAAAAACTTTCAACCAGCTCCAGACATTAGTTACATCTCTGTATGCTCTCTTTGGAGATTATATTTATTCTTTGATTAATAGATCCGTAGTGGACATGTTGTCTCAGAGAGCCACAGGTTAACAAAACCGTACTACAGGTAATGTCAGACTCTTTATTATTTCCTGGATCCATATATTAGCCAGAGCCATAATAGGTATGTATTGATAAAGTACATGTTATTGATGTCTTCAAAACGCAGTCTGTCGTACAGGCTGAGATGATGCATTGTGCCAGTGATCCACAGATAAATAGTGTCGTGTTACATGCTGACATGATACATTACCATGGGTATAGGAGAGGGAGCATCCACGCAGTCCAAGCATGGTTCTTTGGGGATGCATGTTGCACTTGAGAAGGAATGAGCCTTGATTCAGCTCTGCATATCCACAAAGCACCAAAGCCTGGACTGAAATTAGGAGAACAGAGAAGTGAAATAAGAGCCAAAGCTAGAGTAATGAATCGGGCCGTCTTTTTATTATTGTCCCGTGTGGCTGATTAAGGTTGGGCCACATATCTATGTTAAAAGTCCCCTTAAGAAAAAATACAGAAAAAAAGGACTATACAGTCTTGAGGATATAATGTAAATTCACAAGAGCAAGAAGGATTGGATTGGATGAAATTGAAACTTAATGGCAGTCCTTTAAAGGGAGTCCCAGTGCAGTTGGTGGGACACTCTGCAGATGTATGGATTTGTCTGTAGGGCTGCCGTTGTACCATTAGTGCCCTGGACTATAAATCCCATAATAGTCTGTGATGCTAAATATAAGCCATGTGTTGCACCTGGCTGCAAAGGACTAAGTTGAAGATAGCATCTGCCTTATCTTAGATTTCCCTTTTGTTAGTTAAAATCAGATTATTTGCATTAATTTTTGACATAATTTATTTTATCATCTCTGATGTGTGTGAAACACATGCAGAGGTTTGGTTACTGCATCTAAGGAGTATTTTCCCCAATGATAAAGCTTAAAGTAGTTAAGCATAAAAGGTGGAAGAGATTTTTTTTTTTTAGTTATAAGCCTCTTCGTTTTTCAGACAGGCTAATGTCAAAGAGATTAACCCAAAGGAGCTATACTGTAGATTTATAATTGCATACAAATGCATGTTATTGCTTCATATATTAGTCTTTGTTAAAAATGATTTTGATATATTTGTTTTAGCAGCATAACTAGCCCTGAGGGCCTCCGGGTATAATTAGAAAAGGGCATGGTGGGGGAGGTGTGGCTTACCGAATGAAGCATTGGCCTTAGGATCACAGGTCCTAATTATAATTTATAATTAACCCTGTGATTTGCACAACAGTCTAAACTAAAGAAAGAAAATCTTTTTACAGTTTGACATGAAAATGTATGTGTTTGTTTTTTAATTTCACAACCTGCTTTTTTTGGTTGTTTTCATACTTTAAAAATAAAAAGTTGAAGAAAAATAGGAAACTATACATAGATTGACGAATAGCATGTAAAACTTTTCCTGTGAAATATTTATATTAAGCACTGACAAATCTGCAGGTGATAACATAAAGCTATAATCAAAAGAGTTATCTCTGAAAATGTGCTGTTGGGGATTACTAAATATAAATTTATACAAAATGTGTTTTTTTATTTCTGCCCTCCCCCCACTATTTAAACCAGACTCCTCTAATTTTCCTGGCAAGATCAATATAGGATCAGATGAAAATCTGTTACCATTCAAATCGGAGACATTTATGTTGTATGTTGATCTAAATCCATAGAAAGAAGGAGACATAGTGTGTGTGTGTGTGTGTGTGTGTGTGTGTGTGTGTGTGTGTGTGTGTGTGTGTGTGTGTGTGTGTGTGTGTACACAATTATATTTAAATACAATATAGGTGCAGCACTTCTTTCACTGTTTCTCTCCTACCACTCCTACTACTGTCTACCCCAGCGTAATATAAACCATACATAGCCACTGTGAATATGTGTGTTAGTTTTCTACAGTTGTGTTTTAGCTAAAATGTATTGTGCAAATTTTGTTTGCTGCAGAAAGCTGTGATTCCATATATAAATTAAACATCCAGTATAAAGTTGATAGGAAACCTTTGTTAAATAAAAAGAGTTAATACCAGCATGAATAAGAAAATTAATTTATGAGATTTCACCTTCTTTTGAGAATGTCTTTAAGGACTATCAATTGTGCATGTTATGACAAGGGAATTATCTAGAACACAGAAGTGAATGTGACATTATAGAAAGGATAGCTTATATAACCCTTAGTTTGCTTAGCAAATGGAAAGATAAATATGCTTCCAAATTATTCAGTTTTCAAATATATTTGACAAATGTTTTGATTTTAATTAGGTTTCAGAAATTATCATGTTAATAAATTAGGTGCAGGGCTTTTGACGGTGTTTTTATGTAGTTCTATCAGTACCCTTGCATTTGTCACTAATTAATGAGTTCCTAATGCTTCAGCTTCTGGGGAGATGAGCAACAAAAAGGAACGTAACTAGTAAATCCGAAGATGCGCAGCTGGGTTATAGTATTTGAAATTTGACAAACCCATTGGACGTATTATTATTTGTGACATGGCTCAAGATGGGAGATTGTGAGGAGAGTAAAGATGACAGAACTGGTGCTAACCACTGTGACAACAACTTGAAAAGCAGCCGACATGACATCTTTCCTATCATGCTGCCGAAAATGTCAACTTTGTGAAGGACAGTGAGAAAATGGTTTGCCGAAAATTTGAAAGGTAGATTCAAGAGATGCTCATCATGTCAGATGTAATATAGTCCACAGCTGTTTGAGAAAGGAAGTCCTTGCAGTTGTGATGGCTCATAGTTGGCAGGCCCTTCCAGACATCCGTGCTGCTCCAAAAATGGCTACAGTTGACCTGTAGATTGTCTCAAGTTTGTAGTAGAATGATATGCAAGGGTGAGTAGTTGTTTATCTAGCATGCAGTTTAGTAGAACAACGTAGGGTGCATAAGGTAACTTTTTAATTGTATTAAAATGGCTGAATTTGGCATTGTGTCTTCTGATAAAGATCAAGAAAAATGCAAGGCCTAACTGTTTATTATGACCGAAGTGTGGTGAATATTTGAAAAAATGTATATATATATATAGTCTGCGTGTAGCTAGATAGTCACATTTTTGTCTCAGTGCAAACCGTTTGGGTATTATAACTTAACTTAGATGAGTTGTGGACATATATTAACTCTAGTCCAACAAGGTTTGGACCCAGCCATGTGCCCACATAGAGTTCCTAACAGTATCCGTGCTTTAGACTGAAAACTGCCAGAGCGCTGAACATTTAGACTGCCGCTCCAAATTGTAATGATGCAGTTGTGCCAAAGCATTGCAAGTGTCTGAAATTGGTGTTGCCTGGCAAGTGCTAAAATAGCTAGATCAAACAGAATTAAAGCCTGATTCAGAGCCCGTTGAACTCAGTGGAAATATTTCAGTGGCTTCAAGTGGGCTTTGGATCAACCCTACGTACAACTCTGGACGCTATCCCACTGAAGACACTGGAAAATGTGCTGGGACTTTGAATAGAGTGTCCCTTGCTGGGTTAAACAGCTTACTGTGATATTTTACATTAATAATTTGAATTAAAACAGGGGCTGAAAATTTATAAAACTAGTATTATTTAACAGAAAAACCTCTTGACACATGTTCTATGCCCTAGAAAATAAGTCTGCATTTAAACTCCTGAGTCTTCTGTGGCCTTTTCAGTAAATCTTTTGCTTTGAGGGCTATTGACCCAACAAATGGCAACATAATTTTCAGAACTTTTCCAGTTCATCAGCGTATTGTTCTTAGTTCGGGCTCTTTACAGTCAATGTTTTGTGGCTACATCGGTTGTCAGTTGCTGATACAATTGACCTCCATGAAACTCTAAGACATATATGGGTTTTGTGCATCTGTGCGGATGTGCGCCCAAAACTCGAATGAGGACTTCAATGACACAGAGTATTTATCATGGAGTATCTTGAAAAATCTGCCACTCTACTGGCAAGCAAACTAGATTCCCCAATGTACACAGCAGTGCTGGCGTGCGTAACTGATGGCATGAACTAGATCTGAATCTGAATACTAATTATTTCTGGAATTTTGGATTAAAATATACTAAAAATGTTCAGCAGCTGTGTTTTAAAATCAATGTCTAACTGGATTTACCTGGCTTACCTGCTTCTTCAAAACAACTAGACCTAATTATGTACCGGTACTAATGAGACCAAATCCATTCTTCCATAATTGTTTAATAAATGTGTTTTCCAGCTAAAATTTTATATTCCATAGTTCAGCCTAAATAAAATTTTAACAGCTGACCTTGGCAAATAAATGATAGGAAACACTGGAACTTATGGAAACACTGATTAAATTTAAAGATATTCACTGTCATCTGGGCCTTTTAATATGTCCAGGATGTAAGTGTTATTTAATGTAGCTTTAGCACTTACATATAGTGAAAAGAAAATCAATTAAGATTGTGTTAGCATCTCTGTTTGGATTTGTTAAGAGAACTTTTTACCTGTATTCTAACAGCAGAGCTAATATTTATGATATTAAGAGGTTTCTGCATCTGAGGTCAGTGAAACATGACTGTACAGATTGTAATTTTTCTTTTAGTTTAGAGCCTTTTGATTCTTTAAAAGGAAAATAAAGCTAACCAATTAACCCCTGACAGGAGGTTCGTTAGAAGCTGTGTAATCCCTTGCCAAGCCTTTTGTATAACCAAACTAGTCTAGTACTAAGGATTTACACAGCTTAAGCTGAACGCTGGAGGAGGCCTTTAAGGAAGAACATTTGTTCAATTTTAAGACATCTTATGTTACCTAAAGAGAGACTGTGCTGGTATAGGCTACACGGTAATACACAAATCTGTATACTTTGCCTGTCAATAATAGAAACTAGTGATGTTTATTGTCTGGGTTGCTGATTCCTTTGGTGAATGGATTAGACTAGCCCAATTCAGCGATTATGCTGTGGCGTGTATTTCTCTGGGGAGGGGGAGAAGGGGGCATGTATGCAGAGGATGCTGATTTCTGCTCACACATTGGTGCAAATCAGGAGTCAGTTTAAATCAGCAGAGTTCAAAGATGTAAAAACAGAACGTAAGCACAATCAGGCACAGGGACTCTCCGTATTATCTATCAACATTACAGGTGAAGAATGGAAGAGATGATTGCATGTGCACTGTGCTCTGTGAAGATGGGAAATACCCCAAGGTAGCTACTTGGGGCTGCCTTATTCATAATGCGGTCCTGTGCACTAACAAAATAATAAAAGTGTCACAAATATTCATTGAAGAGCTGCTTTGATGGAATGTGTTAGTTTTTATGAAATTCTTAAATTCCTGAAAAGGGACATTATTTTTGGAAATGCAAAATGTACATTGATCTTGGAGCGTCTATTTCAGTTTGTGCTCCTTCCTTTTACATGATAAAATGTTATAAAGTGATTCAATGAACATGAATGAGTGCTGTATTTTTATATTCCATTTGTACGTGAGTTTATCATCCCTATTCTTTTATGCTGTGAACCATATTTTAAATTTGATAAATGTGAATATGATTATTTCTGTAGAAATGAATAACCTATTGAGCCAAACAGGACTTACAGGCAGTCCTTACTTAACGAACATTCCCATTGTAGTATTTATATCTGTATCTGTGACTATATATATACAAATATAGGTGTGTATTTTTAGAGAGAACTACATTTTTCCAGGTTTTTCTGCAGTAAACAAAAATATAGTGATTTCACTATTTAAAAACCTGCCTACCGTAATTTTAAAAGGAGTATTTATTTTATTCTGAGATATGCTTTCTAAACCATCACGCTGCTTTGCCCGTTAGTGCTTCTTTGCATGGCACATGCACTATCTCCTGGATCTAATAGTCGATGACATCCATTTCCAAAAACTGCAATATCTTGTTTGCCGTACAGATGACTTACCAGGGTCATGAGGTGACGCTTGAGTCATTCATGGTATTTTTCCTTCAGGCCTGATGGAATAGGAACTGTAACTGTAGAAGAGAAAGAACGTTTTGAAGAAATCAAGGAGCAGCTTCGCTTGCTTCTGGAGAATCAGATCACCCATTTTAGGTAAAGGCAGAGACCCCTGGTTTAAAGCGAGAGAGGATGCCTTTCCTCACGACTCCATCCCATAAAAGACGTGTCTTTTAGATTTCAAAGGCTGCAGCTTAGTATAATTCTGCATAAGTAATATGCACAATGTAAAATAACTTGGTACATTAGGGTGCCCAAACTTGCAGCTGCAGAAGACATGAATATGTTCATAGCTGATAAACAGAAGGCTTAACCTTTAAAGGTATTTCAACTCAATTTGCCCACATAGGCACAGCAGCAAGGAGAGGACTCATATTTGACAATTAAATAGTTCTAAGCAAATAATTAAAGACCCCATGATCTTATTTCTTCCTCTTTCCCATCCCCTTCTCCTTAACGCATTCTGCTATCTACTCCCATCTCTTCCTAGTACAAAGAAAGACAGGGTTTTTTCATGGATGGTTTAATTTTGGGAATAATGGATATCACTAACCTGAAAGCAGGGAGGTGAGTTGCCTCCTATCAAACTAGCCTCTTCATACAGTGGTCAACCCCAATTCTCAAGGTGAGAGATGATGTAACTCTCGATGCAAACTCAATGCCCATGGGACCACTCTTAGCTGCAACTCTCAAAAATAAAATAGTCAGCATAACCAATTAGTTATGACCTATGTGATTATGATAAGATCACTAATTTCTGGTCCTGTCCTTGTCAGTGCCCTTTTTCCTTTTATTGCAAGGAGATGATATGTAACCCCTTCCTGGTAGATGTAGCCACTCTCCCTCCCAGTTGACAGCCAGATTTCATAAAGTGGCAGATCTACCAGCCCTTAGTAGTCATCCAGCATTTAGTTTTCCCTGTGCTTGAAGCATAAGGGTATATCCTCTGGGCTGTGGAGCACATCATGGAAAATATTTCTGAGATTTCCTAACAATCCCACTGAGGCACCTGATCAAAATTACTCTTTCAGGCCTCGAGCCCGTCTCTTGGGCCCACATGGCGCCACTTGACGGGTAGAGGCCTAATTCAGGGAAGCGAGAACAAAGCCCTCGCCCCATCACCCAGTCTTTCTTATCAGATCACTCTTAAGCTTATTGGTATATTTGCCCATGTGCATTTGAGTTAATCTTTAAAATTGGGCGTTTTTCTAGGTATTGCTTTCCATTTGGCCGACCCGAAGGTGCGTTGAAAGCTACTCTATCCCTACTGGAAAGGGTAAGCATCACAATAACAAAGGCAGGTTAAAATTCCTATGTTCCTATTCAATCGTACAGTAGAGTTTATGTGGCAATTAGATTTATGGATAGATATACACAAAAATTGAATTAGATAACATTACAGTATCTGTTCGTTCATGGGCATGAGTAGATTTTTGGTGTTGTAATTACACCCTGTAATGCAATGTACAGAGAATTCTAAATACTATGAATTGTGGGCCTAATTCTCTAGTCAGTTAGACCAGTTTTATATCCCAAGATGATGCAAACTAAGGAACGAGGATTCAATGGAATTATACTGGCATAAAACTGGTATAATGGGGTGATCAATCAGACCCTTTAAATGTAATGTTGAAAACTTGTCTGAATGAATAACAGTTCTAAAAAGCTTCATGTCACTGAATAAAGTAGTTGCTTGCAGAAATAGTACATGAATTAACTCTGCAGTGACACCTTTGGTCAGGTCACCAGTGGGATTTGAACCTACGACTTCTGGATCTACAAGTGTGAGTTTCTGCTGCTTGATCAAAGGGATCAAGTGCACTAAGAGTTTTAAACTTTATTATGTAGGCTGGCCACTAGAGGTGAGCCACATAGAGAAAGATAGCCACGCTGGGTTAGTGTTGGGTACACATGCGTTTGTTGAACAAACAAAAAAAGGTCCATGATGTGTGTGCCACAACAAATCAGTTTTTCTTATGTCCAGGTTCTGATGAAAGACATAGTTACTCCTGTCCCTCAAGAGGAGGTAAAAACAGTCATCCGTAAATGCTTGGAGCAAGCTGCTTTAGTCAACTATACTAGACTATCAGAGTATGCCAAAATTGAAGGTAAGGCAATTACTTTATGGTGTTAAAATGTTACTACGTTTCTGTGTGGGAACTATAGCTAGCAGTTATTTAAAACAATGAATTAACTATTTATTTGCTTGACAATAAAACTGAAGTCAAAGGGAATATGGAATTGGCTAGGAAATGTATTTGTGGTGTTTGTTTTTTAAGAATTAAGAGCAGAGGTTAGCGAAATCTTTCTTTTTCTAGGAAAAAGCGATGAAATGGTTAACAGAATCATAGCTTCTTCTGAGCACTGCGCGTTTGGTACAGCATTCATACTCGTGTCTTTGTTTAAAAAAAATGAGAAGTACATGGGATGTCATGTTTGTAGCTGAAAAGGATAATGCTGCTAATTACTTGAGACAATGGAGTTCAGGGAACAATCAAAATATAAGAAGCTAAGAAATGTTTTATCTCTGCTTAATTGTTTGTAGCCAACTTAAAATGTCTTTTTCTGGGATGTGTTTCACTGCCTTTGCTTTGTGAATAGTGGAAGTCATCAGTTGATCCCATTCTTGCATCAGATTTCATTCTTGTCACTCTAAATCCAGCATAGCTGATATTATTGACCTTTTAAATTACGGGGGAATAATAACTGGTGACCAGAGACACATGTAGCCATCAAAAAGACATTTTAAAACTTGCTGGAGGATCTGTGTTTTGTTGGAGCTCGATGATCAGCTAGTTTTTTACATGTTAATCAGATTTCATTGTTACCTTGTTGGCTGCTAGACAGCAATTTGAAACTCCTACACAACTTTACAATGCTTGTAACTGAAAGCTGTATGTTCAAAAAGAATTGTTTTACTCTGGATTTTGGTCTTCTGTTGGGTGTGAAATATAAAGCTTTACTAAAGCTAGATTCACATTGTACGCCTCTAAGACATTACTGAAAGAAAAAAAAATCACCATCTGATTTGTTCCTAGCCCTTGTTTACATGAGGGCCTGGGTTATTATAAGTCAAATTTTCTAGGTTCTGTACATGATATGTCCTCTCTTTTTCTGTTTTTTCTGTCTGACAATGCAAATTGTGTACCAGTGGTAATGAATTCATTGTTATGCATCCAGTGAGAAACACTTAAGAATTGGGCACTAAAAGGATGTTTATCAACTCTTGACTTGGTAATGAGTGACAAAAATAGAGAAGGATTGAAGGTTTAATAAGCACTGTATTATCAGGCAATTTATCCAAGTACTCAACTTCACAGGATATGTTAATTGGTGTATTCTGTAAAATGCAATGTTGAAATAGACTTGACGTCGGAGAAGGACTCAGAATCAAAAAGCAACTTTTGTTTTGATGGATGCTTCTACCAAATGCTGGCTTCCCTAGGTCTCTGTGTAAATATCACTAACCTGTTGGTAAGATTTGCTCTCTTCTTTCAGATAAATCTATGCAAAAACAAACTTTATGATCTGTAAGTAAAAATGCATTCACTTCCAAAGTAGAACAGTTAGTGTGTACTTTCCTTTTGTGCCTCAATTCTTCTTGGTTGTGTTAATTATCTGCCCTCTTTTTCGCACTGTGACTTTTAGGTCTGGGAATACTTTGAAGCAACAAACTTTTTTTTTTCCAGCTACCTTTTCAGAGAAATACTTCATTCCACACTACCTGCTCTCCTCTGCTTCTCTCCTTCCTTATTCGTGATTGGCCACAGCCACTTTTCTATATTGTCTCTATAAAAGTGGTTGTGACACCAATTTCAAAGCATGCTGGGATTGTTAATTCAAACAACCCAACATCCGCCAGCTGCATGCATCAGGGTTTCGCTCATGAGCATAGTCCGCTACAAGCTAAAATAGTTTGTAAAAAATAAATTATCTCCATGTGATGCATTTCTCTATACAAATATGATTTTGACATTAAAAAGCTTCTATTTGAATATCCAAACATTTAATAAATACTTGTAACAGCTGAGGAAATATCGGTCACAGCACGGCTTGAGGCTATGTTTATGAAGAAATACCTGTAAAAGCCTTAGATACTGAAGGCTAAAATCCTTAGTATCTTGGAGCCTTAAATCAATAGAATTCTATTTCCCTTTATTCATGATGTTTTGATCATTATATTCTTGCAAACAATTCAAAATAAACCTTTAGAATCATGGTCACAACCTCTTTTGTGACTCATGGGCATGCTGAATGGTTAATCCAGTAGATTTCCAATTTTAAATCTCCTTTTTTTCTTTTATCCTGTGTGTATCCCAAAATACTCTACAGCTATTTTCCTTTTAAGCTAATGTAAAGTTTTCCTCTGACCTATGACCTATAACCTCTTTACCTCTGACCTAAGCCTCTTGCATGCCCAAATCCTCTTTTATAGGGAAAAAGAGAGAAATGTATGAGCATCCTGTCTTCTGCTTGGCCTCTCAAGTGATGGATTTAACCATTCGTGAGTACCTACCACCCTCCTCTCCATGCTGTCTTCACTCTTTCTGTTTTCATTACTTCAAGAAAATCCAGATCCAAACCAACTCACTTTCCTTGCTTCAAGTCTTTTAGCATTGGCTTGTCTGTTGCTTCTGTCTGTGAAACCCAGTGTGAGAAGTCCAGTCACTTTTTATCAGCCTAAAACAGGTTAGACAATTAAGCCATTTGTTTGTGATAAACTCAGATTGTCTGTAAGTTTTTTCAGTTATTCTTTATGTCTGTGACCTGAATGCATTTTTACTTTGCTTCTGTGTAACCCCAATTTGTAAAGTGCTTTTGTCACTGGTACACAATCAAAAGGTAGCAGCTACACTGGGGAACAATGAGCTAGAGGTCAGATAAAGGACATTCGGAAAAAGCCGTCCCTTTTCCTGTGTATAAGATCTTTAAACAATCCTGTGTATAAGATCATATGAAGCTGTCCTTTCTCTGTACATCAGATCTTACATGTCTTCTGTCTGTTATCTCTCAAGCAGAAATGCTTTCCTTGTTCTCTTTCTAGATTTTATTTATTCTTTTACACCAAGCTCTGGGTGGAACATATGAACTTGTTGCTTGGTGAGCTCTTGTATGTTCTCAGAGCTTAGTTCACTAAGTTTACTGATTTTCTATTTGTGCAGCATTTTCTTTCACCTCTGTGAAAGGAGTCTTTTTTGGTGATACCATGCTTCTTGGTGGTGGGAGTCACTGGGCAACTTATTTTCTTTTCAAATGTCATATATCACACATAACTGGGGGGCATTTTGGTCCACTTGCTCATTAATCCTGCATATCTGTTCTTGTTTCTCTCTTTTCTCTCCTTGTTGCTCTCTCTCTTTCATATAGAGAATCAAAAGGATGCAGGTGAACAATTGTATATGTATTATCAATTGCTAGGACTGTTGAGTTATATTTATCTTTGTTTTCTTTTCATAGCTCCTTAAGTTATGTACTCCTATAGACTGGAGATGGAGTTACAATAATACTTAAGGAGTTAATTTGTGCTGTCTCAACATACATACTATCTTTTACTTCTCCCTTAAGATATAGTGTAGAGCAGAACTATTTAATAGTGAAGGTACAACCTAATATGGAGTTTATTTATAGTGAAGAGAAAGTTTCTTGTTTTCCAAAGGAACTAAAACAAATTTTTGGCAGAAAAAAGTTTGGATGATTTGGCCTTTCATGTAAATCACCTAATAAGCACATTTATAACTAAACTAATCTTCATTTTTGTTTTTCATATCTTCTGTTTTATGCCCTATTTGGGAGACAATGGTTTATTTGTTAATGTGTAACTAACACTACAGTGAGACAGAAGTCGTGTTTGTCTTTTTTGTTCGTAACATGTTGGTAACATGTAATGAAACAAGAGTGCAGGTCAGATAAATACCATTAAAATGGACTTCTTCTCAGGAGTGATCCTGGAGTCGCAACATGCCAGTGTGTTCATTACTGTTACATACCCAGGTCCTTCGTTTGAAAGTTCTTGAGATCTGAACTGTTAGGGTTTTTTTTTCTAAGTTGGTATTTATGTGTTGTGGAAAAGGATACACTCGATTTCAAAACCTGTTTCTAGAAAGAAATTGGTTTTAAAAAGAAACACAGCATGTTGGGCCAAGTTCTGCTCTGGGCTCGGGGGCGCCTCTTTCACTAATAGCGTTAGGAGTGGCCCCTCTGTTATTTGGCCCAGTATCTTTTCATTTTTTGCTATATTTGTGGTATTGGTAACAGGCCCTAGTAACAACAACAAAAAGTAATTGTTCAGAAAACAAAGCATGGATTTTCTCTTTAAATAAGTCCACAAGAAGCACCCCCCAAAAAAGTAGTATATAATATTTTCAGGTGCACCCATAACAAATAACTACATTGGATTTAATTGAGCGTAGATCCCAGTGTATCAGTAAAATAAGGACCATGGCCATCATCTTTTTACGACCAGACACAGACTTATGACTTGGTTAATATCAGGGAAATTAGGTGGGGCATTTCAGAGGGCCCCATTTACCTAAAACATACAGGGTTTATGTTGCTTGAACCCAGCGAAGGCCACACGGAGCCAAATCCTATTTCCCTCACGGAACCCTGACCTATTTTAACTAAATTGGGGCCAAATGTGAATGCTACTGCTCTAAATGTTTCTTTCTCTCGAGCAAGAATAAAATTGAGATACTGAAAATAACTGCATAACTCCCCCCTCACCAAACATCACCCCCAGGCATTTCCTGACTTCTTCCCAAAGTGCACCTAGCTTCTCCTCTTCCCTTTAGAAATAATGTGTGGTTTTAAACAGAACATTAAAGAGAATAATATGCTAAAACAACTCAGGATTAATAATCTGTGTTAATTATTAATAAAACAAAAACTCAGATGAAGGCGTGCAAAGCCCTGGAAGGGTTTCCCTCTGGCTATTTCCAGGAATTGAGAATTCCTTTAGAAAGGAATTGCTGGAGACTAGCATCCCAGGAAAACAGGAATTGTGAAATGCAGGGCAGTCGTCAAAAAAGTGCTGAGGATTTAAAGGGCCCGATTCCCATTTACACCAAGATTATGTGACACTGCTATAGTGGTGTAAAAGTGGCTTTATTGCAAATGCAAATCCAGCCCAGGGTTTTTAGATTGTTTTACTTGGCAATTAATCATTTACAATAAACTTACTTCTCCAGTTTTTTTGGACACAGTACTTGTATAATTCTGTTTGGATTTAGTCTTTGGTACTTGGTTCTTCTGAGGAGGACAGTGGAGGTGAGAAAAGGAGGGGAGCAGGTGGCAGCAGCAAATGGCAACAGGTGTGTTTGATGCAGACACAGCAGGAGAATGAGACATGGGCATAAACGATGCAGTTAAAGGTCAGCCGCAATGTAACAGCACAGCCTGGTCCAATGCACTATAAATGCTTCGCCACAAAAGGGGATTGGGCTACTGTTAACCTCATCCCCTCCCCTCTAGCCTCCTCTTGTCCGAGGAAGCAAGGTTCCAACGAATGGGTTCTTCATTGTGTCCACAGTAGGCAAACAGACGTCCCCACTGCCTAGACCAGTCCCTGTCAATGGGTGACACGTATTGTTATATATAATAATCATCATCATCATAATCATAATAATTAATCATTTTTATTAATTTATTATTTAATTATATTTTATTATAAAGTATTGTTAATGGTCCCTGCAAACCAGACTCCTGTGATGGCTCACCTCCATAGCAGTAGCAATGGCAAATCAGCACAAAACCATTCCTGACGTTATTGGTGATCCGCTGAAGCTCAAAGCGCATGGGGCTGGGAGAAGATTGGCACCAGCCCAAATGGTGCCAAGAGCTGGGAGCACCCTTTTTATGCCCCATTCCCCACCATGTGGAGCAGAGGGCCAGCCAGCGGTGACCCCAGCAGAGCACTCAAACTGCCCAGTCAGAGCATCTTGGTGGAGGGGAAGAGGCTCCTCAGGGCAGCCAAGAAGAGAAATGAGCAACATAGAGAGACAGGCAGCCCTGCTCTTCCTTCCTCCAATCCAACAAGATCCCCGAAGGAGAGGGGCGTCACTCCCTGCCCGTCCCATCAAGCCCCCATTCCCATGACCAGAGCAGGTGTTTCTTTTGCTTTCCGCTGTTGGGCAGGAGCGGAATAGCATTTGCGCTTACTCGAGAAGTCTGTGTTCCAAAGAGCTGTGCGGACTGTCTGGTGTCATGGCTCCTGTGTATCTGCACATGGGATTACTATTCAGAGCTGAGCCAATACAAATTTCTTCAGTTCCCAGTGGGCTTGATCCAAAGTTAATAGAAAGGCGGCCCATCAGCTTTAATGGGCTTTGGCTCTCGCCCCAAGACTTGAGACAACATGTAAATGAGTGACTCTTATCTGCAGCCTCTGATCAGCCTTTGCCAGGGTTCTTGACAGCAGCATTGTATCCTTGAACTAACAGGTTGATTCCTGGAGGCCTCCTATCTCCAAGCCACAAACCAACACCAATTTATAATCCAACTCCTAATATATTTTTTACTTAAAATACTCTCAGTCTCCATGCAGCAGAAGAAACCCCATCCCCTCCACCACTGTTTTTGTGTCTGTTGTTTATGCTTTAGGGGTATGTCTACACTACCCGCCGGATCGGCGGGCAGCGATCGACCCAGCGCGGGTCGATTTACCGTGTCTAGTCTAGACACGATAAATTGATCCCCAAGTGCTCTCCCATCAACTCCTGTACTCCACCGCCGTGAGAGGCGCAAGCGGAGTCGACGGGGGAGCGGCAGCAAGTCGACTCACCGCGGTGAAGACACCACGGTAAGTCGATCTAAGTACGTCGACTTCAGCTACGTGATTCACGTAGCTGAAGTTGCGTAACTTAGATCAATTCCCCCCCCCAAGTGTAGACCAGCCCTAAGACCTTCACTAGTCACTTAGGGGAATCCCATTAAAGCCTTCCCCCACTGTTTAATGTCAGTGGATTGTCCCCTGTGCAGAGGGCAGCCGTGGCTAGTGATGAGGGGGTCAATGGTTCCAAGTCCCACCACGGGAATCCCATCTCTTCTTCAAAACAACCTCGTGACAGATGCTCTCCCCGTCTCTCCAGCAGCACCACGGGGACAGCAGCTGAGCCTCAGGCTGGTCGAAAGTTTTCCATACAATTGTTTTTCGATGGGAAACTGGATTTTCAACTACACACATTTTTTTTTGTATGAAAAGTGTCCGCTTTCCACAGAATTTTCTTTTCTATACACACACAGCCCCCAGAACTGTTTTCACGTTTCAGTCAAAGCCAAAATACTTCAAATCAGATATTCTGCTATGCTGACCCGTGGGATCTGTAGTTCAATTTCCTCACGTCCCCATTCTCCTTATGGACAGGGCTCCCCAGCCGGTCTATGTCTCCCACGATGCACCTCCTCACCCACCAATCGGGGAGACCATGGAGCATCATGTGAAATGTAGTCTGAACAAGGGGCCTGGCCTATAGAAGAGAATGGGGGAATGATGCACCCGAACTTATAACGCCCACAATGCACTCTGGTGGCATTTCAGAACCAAACTCTTTCCGTTTTTGTTCAAAATACTTAATTTAATTTTTTTATGTTTTTCCCCAAAAAAGTTAAGATTTTCAGAGGAGAAGGATAACAAAATTTCTGACCAACTCTTCAGCAGACAGTGGGCTGGTGGAGGGGAGAAGTATTTGGAAACATCTAGCTCCTACAAGGCAGCACCCTAGGATGTGGTCGGGGCGGGAAGGTTGGTGGCCTCTAGCCCCTGAGATACCTCCAGACTCTCAGGAGCAGCAGGGCCCCAGAACTGAGGCAAGGGGAGGGATGAGCAGGGGAAGCCTGTGATTTCAAAGAGGCATTGGCCAGGGGCTAGCGAGGAGTTGAAAGGGGTGCAGGACCCACAAGAAGGGAGAGGGTAGGAAGCGGTTGGGGCTTGCCTGCTCGTTTTCTAGAGCAGTGGGGTTGGAATTACAGACTAGGAGCTATGGGACTAGGGCAGGATGCATTTACCGGGGGGAGGGAGGCCCCCAAATCATTTAGTCACTAACGTTATTTGGAAGTTCAGAATTGATTTTGTGTGGGGAGGGTGGGCTCAGCAATATATTTGTAAGGAAGTGGGGAGGAGATGTAATTGGCAGATGCTCCACTTCTTTGGGGCATCATCCAGCACTGACGAGGCTAAGCACGAGGCTTAAGCACCACATGAGTGCCACCTGAGTCCTCACAATAGGGCTTGAGTGGTGCAGGGGCCTAGTGCTGACCTTAAACCCTGGGCTGCCTGTCCCCTTTCCTGAGCTTGCTTGTTGTATTCCTGCCGTGTCACCAGAGATAACCGTATTCTGTGTGTTGGCAGGCGGATCGCCACGATTCCATAGCCAGCATGAATCGTGTTG